CGGTGAAAAAAAAAGTGAGACAATATATTTACGGAAATGATTGACAATTTTTACGGTTGAAAGTTTGAGTTTTCGATCTCATTCTTCACCTTTTTTCCGTTGAGACTAGTTTTTTTTAATCATTTTCATGTTTTTGTTTAGTAGATTATAGTCTAAAAAATTTATCATCGGATGTTGCTTAATCGTCATTTAATGTTTATATGTAGTAGAACTATTTTTTTTTTTGTTAAATAGTAGAACTATATAATGTGTATGTTTATTAGTGTACTATACAAACAATAAAATTACGTTAAAAGCAGAACAAAAGAAAATTAACAGTAGATAAAAATGAACCATCTTAAAAGAGATATATATGGATACTTTTATACGTTGGATCAACTTTTATATATCAAATAAAAAATCAGGAAAAAAAAAATCAGAAAGTATTCCAGCCGTGGACCCCACAAGGCGTAACAGAATGCACTATGCAGTCCCTGCTCGTACCATATGTAGAAAACAAAACCATTTTCAAAGCTTTATATCAGAAGCTAGAACCAATTCCAATCTCTCGCCTTCATAAATCCATTTCCAAAAACCTTTGTTTCTTCCTCTTTCATCTTCACATTTCTGGAGAGAGAAACAAGAAAAGAACCATTTTTTCTCAAGAAAATCGTTCTTTAGGTTCGTTTTTGTTTTGTTTGGCTGCTTTAGCTCTGGATCGTCTTGTTTTTGGTTCTGGGTCAAGCTTGTTCTTTTATTTACGTTTTGGCTGTGGTTGGTTTCAAATGGACAAAAAGCCTTGATTTTACTTCCTCAAGATTCAATTTTTATTATCGGCTGTTTTAAGCAATGCATGTTCTGTTGGATTTGTGTTATTGATTTCTAAAATTCTTACGGATTGAGTCTGGTTAAAGCCTTGACTCATGACCATTAGCTCTTGTGGAAGATTCTTTAAGTAGCGGCCTTAACTTTGATGGGATTTCTTAGTCTTGAAGACGATTTTAACTTTTAGATAAGCATAGAGTTTGCCACTGAGATTAGAAGACAGGTTTCTTGATGAGAATCGGATACCTTAAAACTCTTTAATCCATTTTTGCAATTGCAGTCTCATTGTGTATTGTTTCTAACCTCTCGTTCTGTTTAGCCTCTGTTGATTTTTTTTTTAGTTTCTCTCCCTCTTTCATCTTCAATATTTCTTTAGTTTTGTGTGTTTTATGTGTTTAGTGGTAATCGTCTTTTGTTTCTTTATTTCCTTTTCTTTGTCAAATTCACTGAAATTTATTGAGTTTTGTGTTTTAAAAAATAAATAAATAAACAGAAAACATGGACATTGGAGGTAAGAAGGATGACAAAGACAATCGGAAGAAGGTTTGATATTTTTCTTCTTAATTTTTTTTTTCTTTGTATTAAAATCTATCTTAGTCTTTGAAATCTAAATATTGTATTATTTATTTTAAACAGAGGAAAGGTAAAGAAAAAGTTGAAAAAGACCTTGATGAAGAAGAACTACCTAGGAACAAAAAATACATGGTATGTAATTATATAAATTTACATATGTATATGATTTAAACGTTATTTGAATATAAATTGTTTAAACTAATCATATGTCAAAATGTCATTAGGAAAAGGAGAAAAATTCACACAAAAAAACCAAAGTTCCTGATGATAGATATGTAAGATTTTTTTTAAATCAAAAATAGTTTTTGGCTTTTCT